TCACATAAAGGTCTATGTCTGGGATTGTTTTCAAACCGTATTTCTACCTTTGATTTGATTAAGAACCAGTTGTTTAACCAATCAAGTCATAACTGAGTTTTAGGCTGGGACCAAGGCTAAACACAGGTGTAGGAATGTTTGTTGCACTGACAATTATTCTCAATGGTAGTTTGAACAAGGTTGTGGTGTCTACATTGTGCCATTTGATCTGTACATTCCAAAGCATTTTACATCGGTCTATGTGGAGGCAACGTTACCTGAACACTTGTGACATGCTGGAAGGCCTATCATTGGAGGCATTCTGACCAGGAGTCTGAGGCTTCTTAAAGACAGTTTATTACAGTGACAAAATCATTGTTTAGCAGCAAGACAGACTTCAGTTCAAATACAAATTCTCCTCTTTCTGGTTCCATTACTTCAGGTTGTGTAATCTCTCTTTTGATTTTGATTTTGTTTCCTGATCTGTGATGTGGGAGGGACAATAGCTACCTGAGAGCTGCTTTACATAATGTATGAACTCTGCATGTACTCAGGGAAAGCCAAATGTTGGCATTAGCTTCTGAATAAGCAGTATTTACTTTATCTACTCTTTCCCTCTGTTCTTTCTCCCCTTCCACAGAACACAGACATGGTCCTATGATTGTGGTGGTTCTGTATCTTTCTTTTTTTTTTAAATTCTTTTTCTTTTTTTTCCCCATAATTTTATTGAGAAACAAATAGCAATGAGACAGTTTCAAACCAAATTGGTAGGACAGTTTCAATAATTAACACATTGTACACATTCTTCCTAGTGGTTAATTGCTGTACAAGATGCAGACATGATATCCTATTTACAAACACTGTTAGAACAAATCCCTGCATTCATTAAGAGAATGTAACTATATATCTATCCTAACCATTTTGGATACACAGATACAAAATGGACATTCATCTGTACACCCTTTTTTCATTAAGTTCCATTATTTGAATATTATAGGTGTGTAAACTCAGCAAATATTCTAAAAGAGTCCAGTAGTCCATAATAGTATTGGGTCTTCCACTTCAGTGGCAATGTCAGAAATTGTTGACCTGAGTCGCCTACAGCTCAACATAACAGCATGCCTTTACTTCTTATGGTTCTGTATCTTTCTTTCTCAACTGTATGACTTGCTGCCTCTTTAACATGAGCATGATTGGTCAGAGAGACAAGAAGATCTTGGGATCAGGTCAAGGGAGAAGGTTGTCTGACCATGAAGCAGAAAACTAGAAGTCCAATCAGGATAGAAAATTCCATTTTTTTCTCTGCTGTTCTGAAGGAAAAATTAGGCAACAAAATCTTCCACCTTGGGATTTTTCTTTTTCTTTCTTTCCTTTTTTTTTTTTGACTCAATCTAAACTATGTCACACTTCATTTATTTCTTGTATTTATGACTAGACCTGTGAAGAAGACTTGGATCACCCCGTAGGTAATTTTTTTGGAACTTGGAGAACAGCCTTCAGTGATTCTGGAGCCCCTCAGTGGGACATACTTACCCATTGGAGTGCTGTGTGGAGCTCTGGGCTCTGTTCTTCACAGTGGTTACCTCTTGTCCGTATGGTTGGAAAACTTTAGTTGACAACCAAGAAGAGCCATAGCCAGTCCCCTGATCTTTCTTGTGTTCCTTATCTAGGTTCTGAAAATAGCCAGTTGGTTCCCAAGGGTTGCACAGAAATTTGTACACTTCCCTCTGGAGTTTTAGTTACTGCCCATAGAGAAGGCTTCATTCCTGATCCCAGCCCACCCCCAGGGATGAGGTGCAGAGTTTTTTCTTAGCCTTGCTCTAGGCTTTAAGCTGGCCTCAGAGTTCCAATCATCCTCTCATGGGCCCAAAATACAGACCTCACAAGGCGTGAGAGTTGACAAGAGAAGGGTGGGGAAACACTGTTGAGGAGTGGTATGTTCAATATGGACTTCTTAGGCTAATCATTGCTTCTACTAAAAAAAAAATCACAATATATAACCAAGACTAGAAAAAGAATGCAAATGTTAATAGTGTAATTTTAAGATTCTGCTTCTGCTTTTTGCATATTTGTTAAAAACAAGTAGTTATGATTATAACTTGAACTAATTGTGCATTTGCTTAAATTTGCAAGAATAGTGGGAAGGCTAGTTTTAGTTTTATCTCTCTGTCTAAGCAGTGTGGACATGGCTGTGCAAGTTCAGGAATCCTGTTTCCAAGTGTAGTCTCCAAAACTTGCTTCTAGTGTGTATAACTCAGCACTGAGTAGTTGTACCTACATAACTTCCCAGTAATAATTAAAAATATATTTTTGTCAATAGGAATAAAAGGATGCTTTTTAATTTCTATGGGGTGTGATTATTTCTATATTTGAACAAAATTTGTGGACACTGTGACTATTTTGAAAAATATTCCTTTCCTATTGATTCTTAAGTGAAGAAGGTAGCGAAGATGACTTCATAAAATATAGCAAAGGTTATTTTCTATATAAAGTTAACATATACAAAGAAATATTTTCAAAATGTTTTAGTGGCAGAGATTGAACACAGGACTTTAGGTACAATCCCAGCCCTACAATGTCTTTTAGTAACTTAATACTTCTTCTTTATTATAAGGCCCTGCAAGTAGATTTCTTAATGCACCTAATGTTTTCTCTTTTTCTTGTGTCATTGTCAGGCCCTGCTGTCTTATGTCAACCTTATTTTCTTTATTGTACTAGTCTACTTTTCTTCCTCTTAGTCTCATTTCTTTGACTGAGATATGCTATCTTGTTAATGGGAGTGCTTTAACCTAGTAATTTTGCTTATAAAACTGTATGTCGGGTTTGTTTCTTGTGTCAATTGTTCTATAGTATTAAATTTCACATATTTGTGAATTTTCTAAATTCATTCCTATTACTGATTCACAGTTGTATGCTCTTGTGATGACAAAAAATATTTGATATGGTGTGCCTCAGGTGGTTGTTGTGGTGGGTATGGAGTTTGTGTCTACAGGAGCCATCCAAAGTCTGAGTCTAGGGGCTGGGGAGATGGCTCAGTAGAATAAGTGCTTGCTTGGCAAGCACAAAGGCCAGAGTTCAATCCCTGGTTCAAAAAAAAAAAAGTCTGAGTCTATGTGGGTCAGATAATTCTGAGCCATTCTTGTGCCTGAGACCACAGGAACCTGTGGCTGTAGGGACTGGTGTCCTTGTTGATTTTCTTATTTTATTCATATATTATTTTCCTGATGTCATTGATTTTTCTCTTTTTATTTTATAGGAAAATAAAATTTTATAAGAAAATAATAAGAATGACAATAGTTTGTTTTTGTATTTTAGTAAGGGTCTACAGGGTCTCACTATGTAGATCAGATTCATAGTGATTCGCCTGTGTTCAGCCTCCCAAGAGCTGGGTTTATAGGCATGTCACTACACTCAGTCTCAACTGCAGCCTCAGTGAGCCCCTGGGATGGGGCAGACACAGTAGGCCGGCAGAGTCTGCCTAAGCAGGCGCTTTAATCTGCTGAGCTATTTGAGGAATAACAATAGTTAATACACGGTGTGTCATCAAAGTATCTTCAAAGTAGTAACTTAGAGTACAAGATGTAAATCACAAATATTCTCACTAAAAATAAATAGATAATAACACAAATTTTTTTCAATGAAATACATGTGATAAACTAGTGGAACACTTCTACATTGCTAGTGGGCATGCAAACTAGTACAACCCCTATGAGGATAACTGTGGAGATTTCTCAAGGAACCGAATTGTCTCTTGTTGTTTGTAACTCATAGCCTTTTAAAAACCATTATTTTGAATTCTTTGTAAAGCACTTTTGTATCTCCACCTGGGGACCTCAGTTACTAGAAAATCATGTTCCCTTTGTGGTGTGATGGTTTGATGTTTTTCCTCATAGACTTGCAAGAGCATCGGAAAACAAATGAAATAGAGTCTACCAAGGTTGAAATACTCCTAATGTGCACTAAGAGGAGGCGATGCTGATAAATGACTGCACACTAAGGAAAAAAGATAAATGCCTGTATCCTATGCAAAAAAAAAAATCTCAAATAACTTCACTTTATACCTCAAGAAACTAGAAAAAATTAAGCAAATTAGAGGACAAAAAGCAAAATTAGAGGACAAATCAAATAGGGAAAACACACACACACACACACACACACACACACACACACAAAGTCAAGAAAATTAGAGTGGTTTCTGGAAAACATAAACAGACTGATAAATCCTAGTATAAGAAAGAATAAAATAAGACTACAAATCAAAGAGGAGGATTGCAACTAATAATACACAAATAACAAAGGTTCATAAAAAGACTGGAGACAGTTCAGAGATACAAACTCATCAAATATGTATAAGGTCCTGAGTTTGATCCCGAGCATTGGGAAAAGGACTCTAATGACCAATTACATGCCTGATAACCTAGAGGAAATGTTTAAGTCCCTGAGGTCATACAACCTAAGGCAGAACTCAAAAGTAGAGTCTGAATATAGAAATAATGACTGAGGAGACTGAATTGTTAATAAAATGGCCCTAACAATAAATCCCAGGACTCAATTGCTTCACTGCTGAATTATATCCCAAATTTAAGTAACACTAGCCTTTCTCAAGCACAATTTAAAGTTTTGAAAAGGTCTAACATACGAAAAGCAATACATATGATAATAGACTGAAAAACAAAAATCATAATCTCAATAGATGAAGGAAAATCATTTGACAAAATTCAGTGTTCTTTCATGATAAAACTCAGATAAGGCACTTCCTTTCTATATTTATTTTATTTTTTATTGTTCAGAAGATCATTTAAATCTTGCTAACTGCTGAATGCCTCTTTGGCTAGTTTTAGAGGACCATTAATTACACTTACAACTGACACATTTCTACTTTCTCACATTGTTTTCAAGCCACCTGAATGTCTCCTCTGGTGAACAATGTTCTCTTTGATACATAACCAAAATGGACCCTATGCTGTAATCACAAAGGACAATGCTGGAAAGTCTGAATATGTAAATGATTTGAAAAGATATTATTTTTCCACTTCTGTTTTCAAATTATTTGAAACAGTTTCTAAAGACATAGTCACAGCTGTCTGAAGCATGTCTTCTTCACTCGTGGAATCACGTAGCTCATTTCCAAGTGCCCCCGAGCTTGTGGTCGGCCTTTCACGTGGCTGTGAAGCCTGTCCTGGTGGATCTGCCTGCCGCTGCCGCCGCCGCTGCTGCTGCTGTTCAAAGTAGGCTTCTCTTCTCTTCCGCAGCTCTTCAAATGTAAGCTGTGGCCCTGATGTCTGTGGAACGTCTTGAGATATATTTCTGGATCTACTTGCATCCTGAGCTGAATGGCCCTGGGGAGGTCCGCTTCTTCATCTTCCATGCCAATCTCCTGGCGAGCGAGAGCCAGGGCCCTCTGCAAGTCCTCCTCGTATTCATCTAACGTTCCAGACCCATCACTTCTGAGACTTGTTCCAGGTCTGTTTTAAGGACTCTCTGCCCTTTCAGTTGTGCTAATTCTTCTCCAATGAGCTTTGATCGATGCATCTGTTGGACCCTGATGGTCTGGAGAAGTCGGTCAGCTTCACAATCTGGCAGATCACCTTTAATGCCAAATATAGAATAACTTTCCTGTTGTCATTGAGCCAAGACAAGTGCCAAGTGTGTATCTAATATTAATTCTGGAGCCATCAAGAGACAGTTCAAGTTAAACCACTGTTTTCCTAATTTTCTAACTGTAAAACAGTGTTCTTTATAATTGCATATAAATGATTTTTCATTTATGGGATCAATCCTGAGCCTCTGATTCTCTGGACTGTTGAACAGGATCCGTTCCAAACCCCAAAGTTTCAAGGCATTGCTTATGACTTGAATAGAGAAAAAGCCACTATCATCCATATTTCTAGCAGGCTGCTGTAAAAACAAGCAATCGTCTTCACTGGTTACCCCTCCTTCCGCCATCCTCATCCTTTCTTCTTCATCCAGCTGGTGGGCAATTGAGGATAATTCCACAGGGCTGAAGTATTCTCCTTGCAACAGATTATTCAGGCAGTGCTGAGCACAAAGTGATCCTTCTTGTTTCTCGTGGAAGATGGACTCCATGTTTATTTGTCTTGAGCCAACGGCCTACTGGCGGAACCAGCCCCTCCAGCTCCGCTTCCCCCATTTTTTAATATTTAAAGCATACTAAATGCCATGTATGAGAAATGCAAAGCTAATATCACACTCAGTGTTGAATAACTTAATGCTTTAGAGAAAATATTGCCACCTTCACCACTACTATTTATTGTATTATTGGACGTCCTAGCAAGAGTAACTGGAAAACAGCAGACTGAAGTGTCTGCTTAGGCAGAGAGCATCGGCTGGGGTTCAATCCTGGGCGTGCCATGCTTGTCCCATTCCCAGGG